GCAACCATGGACAATATATAAATGAGTAAATGTGGCTGTCTTCCAATAAAACTATTTATGAACATGAAAATTTGAGTTTCATATAATTTTAACATGTCATGAAAGTGTATTCTTTTGACTTATTTCAACTCTACCATTGTAAAAACTATTCTTGGGTTGCAAGCCACACAAAAATAGGCGGTGAAACAAATGTTACCTGGGGGCTGTTGTTTGTGGATCGCAGCCCTAAACCAACAGAAAATCACAGTGTATGGCAGTGCAGGAGTGGGATGAGATCAAGTGTTTACAGAAGCTGGCTCTAGGGATGACCATCAGAGAGGTCCAGACAGATTGTCAAAAATGACACAACAAATATTACCAATAATTCTGGGAATGATAGGAATGAGAGTATACAGCTATGGGGAATTGAGCTGGGGTTCAATATAGGGAGTCAAGTGATGAGGAGGCTATTCCTGAAGGAGAGTTTCTATGTCAGGGTAGCAAATCAGCAGGTTCATGGGTGAGGGCTTCTCAGCACAGGCTGCAGTTCAATTTTGGACCTACATTCTATATAGCAGCTAATCAGAATAAAGGCAAGTGACCTAGCAAAGATATAGCCTTATCACTTGTGCTGAGATTTGCAGGGGTAGGATCTGGAGGCAATAGTGAGCAGTGGTTAAGAGCATAGGCTCGGGTGTGTCTGCCTGGGTACCAATCTTATCCATGGCACTTTCTTACTTAGTGACCCTGGGTAGTGGCTGGGGAATGATGATCAGTATTCCTCTACCCAGTATTGTTGGAGAAGTCACCAGTGTTAGAATCAACACCATCTACACAGCTTACTATTTATATTAAACGGATTTTGCTATTCTACTGTTTCCATTAACATAACTTTACTATTTCTGGAAACTCTTGCCTGGAAAGATAAAAGTTCCAAATAACTATTATTTATTCCAAGACTTTCTGAAAGACCCATCAATACTGCAATAAAAAGGATGAAATGATACTTTACATCCTAAGACTCTTGGACTCTTTGTCTCAAAATTCCTGTCTTTGCTGTGCCCAGTAATTTTGAACTACTGCATCATGATCTTTTCTCAATCCTAATTAAGCCATGTGTGTTGAAAGATCCACTTTAAATCAGACTTCAAAACCTCAATAAATATCTCAACTTTGCTCTTCTCCCTTTGAGGTACTACCAGGAATGTGCTGTTAGTGTATCCCGTATAGCTGTGAACAATACATTCAGCTTCGTTGTATCAACAGGTGGTTATGGTGATACTTCGAAGCATATATAAAGCTCCCAGCTTGATGCCAGCCCTCATCAAAAGGTCTGTATCAAGTTAAATATATAGATTCTCTAAAGCAGTGCTCACAATACCCAGAAGGTAGAAACAACCCAAATGTCTTTCCATGGATAAATGGATAAACAAATTGTGACATTTATACACACTGGAATATTATTTGGCCTTAAAAAGGAAGGATCACCCTGGGCAACATAGGAAGACCTCATCTCTACAAAACAATAAAATAAAGTAAAAAATTAGCCAAGTGTGGTGGTGCATGCCTGTAGTCCCAGCTACTGGGAAGACTGAGGTGGGAGGATTGCTTGTGCCCAGGAGGTAGAGGCTTCAGTGAGTTGTGATCATGCCACTGCACTCCAGCCTAGGCAACAGAGCAAGACTCTGTCTCAAAAAAAAATTTTAAGGAAACTCTGACACACATGACAGTTGAATGCACCTTGAAGACATGATGCTAAGTCAAATAAGTCAACACAAAAGGACGAATACTGTATGATTCTACTTAGATGAGGTACCTAGAGTAGTCCAGTTCATAGGGGCAGAAACTGGAATGGTGGTTGCCAGGCTAGGGGAAGGGGAAAATGGAGAGTGAGTGTTTAACAGGTATGAAGTTTCAGTTTGAGGTGATGGAAAAGCTTTGGAGGTGGGTGGTGGTTATGGTTGCACGATGGTGTGAATGTACTTAATGCCACTGCATTGTACACTTAAAAATGTGAAAATGGTAAATGTTATGTTGTGTATATTTTACCACAATTTTACACACACACACACCTCGAGGGACTTGACAGCTTTTCACTGTGACCCTCACATTGCCTTGTCCCTTATTCCCAACTCTGCCTCTCCACTCTTCTTGATAAAATGTCTTCTTAGACATTTCCAAATAATGGCTACTAATGTTTTTTGTTTTGTTTTGTTTTTTGGAGACAAAGTCTTGCTCTGTTGCCCAGGCTGGAGTGCAGCGGCACCATCTTGGCTCACTGCAACCTCCGCCTCCCAGGTTCAAGCAATTCTCCTGCCTCAGCCTCCCTAGTAGTTGGAATTTATAGGTGCCCACCACCACACCTTGATAATTTTTGTATTTTTTGGTAGAGATGGGGTTTCACCACGTAGGCCAGTGGCTGGGTCTGGAACTCCTGACCTCAAGTGATCCCCCTACCCTGGCCTTCCAAAGTGCTGGGATTACAGGTGGGAGCCACCACAGCTAGCCTAATGATTGCTAATCTGTAAATACAGTGCTTCTATCCTCCAAACTAGCTGCACTTTGGCCAACACTTTTCCTGCTAAAGCCGATCAAAAAAATATTCTGTTTTCTTCCCCACATTAGAATGAGTTTCTTTGGAAATATCTAATTTTAGGCATTTTCTAATAAAGGCTTATGCTAAGGGTAGTCTGGTTGATTTTCTTACACGTGTGTGTGTGTGTGTGTGTGTGTGTGTGTGTGTGAATGTGTGTATGAGAGAGAAAGAAAGAGAAACAGAGAGTGCCAATGATTTTGGAGGCCTGTAATCTCAGTACTGCAGGGGCTTCCAGAGCTTTCCCTTGAAATGTCAATCCCTGCTCCAGTGAAATGTGGGAGATTTGGAATGTCTTTAAAGAGGCCAGCAATGGCATCTAGGTCCCTGGACCTTGAAATTTAATATTGAGTTCCACTGACATATACCCATGGGTCAACAAAGACTATTCCCTTCTATTCTGTCCCAGGCAGAATGGGTAGAGAGTGGAGTGGCTCTGAGGCTGTAGAGACCCAACTGGAAGGGGCCAGGAAAGGCAGAAGCAGAGCACAAAGCAGGTGATGACAAGGAGAGGCCACTGGAGATGGCTTGCCTTGAAGAGTGCTGAGGACCAGTCTGAAAAGTTGAGATGTCAGGAGAGGCTTGAGGACAAGCTTAGTGGGGAGGCTGCAAGGTGTTTCTGGGCACCCGTAGTGAGGAATCCAATCACTGTCTGTGGGAAGAGTGTGGAACCCGGTGAAAACGGCCTTCAGGAGAAGACCCAGTGGTCCCGAGGTGTGGTATTGTGAGCATACTCTGCCCTGAGCAGCTGTCTTACAATATGTGAGATCAATCAGAGCTGCCTAGACCCCTGGGCAGAGGAGGCACCCTAACTGGCTTCCGCACTGAAGGGTTTCAAGAGCTCCCTGGATAGGATTCTAGAATTCCTCACTTGGAGACAGGTCACAAGGATCCCATTGTGTCCCTGAGAGCCAAAGCTCTGGACAGAAGCCTTTGCAGCTTTGGCTTAAAATAATACCCAATCTAAAAAAGTCACCCAGAAAACTCTTAGATTCGGCACACTCAAAAGACAAAAACCAAAAAAAACAAAATAAAACAAAACAAAAACCCCAAAACACAAAATAAACAACAACCAGGCAAAGATATGCCTGCCATTATAGGAAGATTTCTTTTTTTTCTTTTTTTTTTTTTTTTTTGAGACGGAGTTTCGCTCTTGTTACCCAGGCTGGAGTGCAATGGCGTGATCTCGGCTCACCGCAACCTATGCCTCCTGGGTTCAAGCAATCCTCCTGCCTCAGCCTCCTGAGTAGCTGGGATTACAGGCACGCGTCACCATGCCCAGCTAATTTTTTGTATTTTTAGTAGAGACGGGGTTTCACCATGTTGACCAGGATGGTCCTGTTCTCTTGACCTCGTGATCCACCCACCTCGGCCTCCCAAAGTGCTGGGATTACAGGCGTGAGCCACCGCACCCGGCCTATAGGAAGATTTCTTTTAGTGATGTTTAAAATGCAAAAACTTTTGTCCCTAAACATAAAATCTTCAGGCATTTTAACAGAGACTTAAGGAGTAAATGCCCTGAGTCAGTAATGGCAGGTAAGTAAGGTATTACAAAATCATGCTATACGCTGAGCCATCCTTAAATAGATGAAAACTTTAAGAGCAAACAGTACAATCACAAGTCTCTTTCCTAGCAATCCAGAGTTCTGAACTGATTAACAATCTGGGTAAGGAGAAACTTTCTCTCCCTGGGAACAAGTTAAACCTAGTGCTCTTTGCTCTTTTTTTTTTTTTTTCCTCCAAAATTTCTCAGCCACCGTTTACTTATCAAAAAGACAATGGGTGCCATTACGAGATTTCCCAGGTGAAAGGAGCCTCGGGGTCTAGGGTTGAGGGGCGGCAGCCTTTTTAGAGGAGGAGACCTCTCATCCTGAGGCCCAGGGTCAACTTGAGAGGAGGTGGGGACTTCCTGGGTCGCGGAGAATTAATGTCCATACTGTAGCTTCTGGTGTGTGACAGCTCCTCAGATAAGACATTGAAGTTTTCTGTAATCCCAGACAGTAGGGAGGCTGAGGCAGGAGAATCCCTTGAACCCAGGAGGTGGAGGTTGCAGGGAGCCGAGATCGAACCACTGCATTACAGCTGGGGTGAAAAATCGACACTCCGTCTGTAATGCCAGCTACTTAGAAGGCTGAGGCAGAATCACTTGAAGCCGGGAGGCAGAGGTTGCAGTGAGCCAAGATCATGCCATTGCACTCCAGCCTCTTAGATTTCTGGGATGAATTTGTTTAGTTCGAGGCATCTTCTTTGACCCAAGAGCTTCTTTATCTTCTTAAAAACTGTAGATAAAGCAATTCACCAAAAAGTAGCTCCATAAACTCAACATACATCAATTAACCCGTGTGCTTCTCTTTACTTTCTTGCAGCAGGATGTGGGCCGGCCGCCGACGCCGTGGGGTCTCCCGGCCCCGCCCCTCGCCCCGCTCTTTGCTCTTAAAGACCAGAAAGATATCTAAGCAGGTGACTGACTCTCTTATTGGTACAGTGGCTGGCATTCATTATGCTACTGAGAATGAAATAAAAACCCTTTTGTGTTACTCATGTGCTACCTTTTGCAGACCAAAGGAGCAGTCACTTAATGGCTAGAGCTGGCAAATTAATAATAATGGACCAGACTCTCATCCCATGCAATCAAATAGATGCTATTCTCTACTAAGTCATGTAGCATAAGAGTCTCACCTAATAACAGTAATAAATAATGGGGTAATTTCCATGCCAGCTGCTTCCGTCCTTCTAACCAGGGTTTTACATCATTGCAGTTCTACCTACAGGAAACAATGACATTCTCAGACCTATTTTAAAAGTCTGCACCTTTCGTTTTTTTATTGCTACAATTTTTATGGGTTGTCTCAGTCAAGGGTTGAATTTTTAGGTCCCCAAGAGAGGGAAATGTTATCAAAACAATATTGTGAGTGGAACTTGATGTGACAACTATGGAAAAGGAATTCAGTACAAATGTACCTGTTATTAGGATTTGTTGGGCATTTTGCATACAACTCTTTTTCATGGCAATTTATATGATGTTTGTGGAAGAATATGTACTTTGTCAATAATGTTTGTTTTGCTAGTGGTTTGGATCTGCAATTGGTTGTGTGGATTGGCTAACATTGTGAAATTTGGTGGAGTAAACTTACCTGGGGTTTTGAACCCAAGAGTGTGTAATAATTTTATAAATGTAATATTACATATATCAAATGTTTTTGATATCTAATATTTTAGTATCAAAATATTACATTTTAATGTTTGGAGATAGCTCAGATGAAAAGTACAGTAGAGTTAATGTGTGGATGTATAAATTCCCTATTTTTTTCCTTTGGATTTCATCTCTGTGTCTTCTTGGACAATGCTTTTGCTGTTTATCTGTTGTTTTACCACCATGCTAGTGCTCTAGAAGTTAATGTGCCTTAACCTTCACCTCCTTGGAATTCCTAGGCACTTGGTTTATACTTTAATTCTAACATGTCACTGCTTGGTTGCTTCTGGGACTCACTATATACCTTTTTGTTCTGCCTATGTGGCTGCAAGCCTCTTTTCTACCTCATGATGTAGGTTATTATTATTCTCAATGGACGCATATGGAAACTGAAGCACAGAGAAATCTGTGTACCTAGGGTTGCAGAGCTGGTAGGTACAGAGCCAAGAGTGGAACCCAGGCAGTCTGGCCCAGAGTCCATAATCTTAACCACATTCTGCTGCCTCTCCTGTGAACAGCTAGCACAGTGCCTTAGACATGGTTTGTGGAATAACTTTTTTTTTTTTTTTTTTTGCAGACACAGTGTGCACACATAAGATGGTACTATGAACAAAAAATGTTTCTTTGGAAATGAAGCAGATGAGTTCCAGGATGCTTTTCAAGTTCTGCATCTGTAAAGGTCCTTTAGACCATTTTGGTCCTTCTGTCACAGCAATGCTGCTCTGGATGTCTGGATCTCTGTAAGAGAAAAGTGAGTGCCCAGTACTGAATCTGCTTGTGTGATCTTGGGAAAACTCCCAACATAATATCCCGGGCTTCCAAATCCAAGCTGCCCCTCTTGTAGGTAATGTCTGCAGGCCTCTCTCAGCAGTGGGGCTGTTCACATTCATCACTGGGAATAAACACACCTAACATATTCTTAATAGTCCTGACAGTAAGGAAAAGAACATTAAATAATATATTTCTCTTATAGTAAATTATCCATTTTGCTGAAAAGAACATTTACTTGATTTCCATCTCCTCACAGTCTCATTTTAAGACTTAATGGCTTCTAAATTACAAAAGAACACTTTGAAAAACACTCTGTTACATTCCTCCAGTATGCTTTCCTGGTGGTAATACACATGGAGAGTTGGAGACTATTTTTGGATTTAGACAGATGCTCTTTTGGTGCTCTGAATGACATTTTCCTAAACAAATTGCTGAATGCTTCAGAAATGAAACCTGTGATGTCTAGCACAGGTTGTACACAATCCACATAAGAGAGATTGCAAGACTCATTGTCAGATGGTTTCTGATATGCCCTGGCTGATGGAAGGATGTGTATTTATGAGCTCAACTTAAAAGAGAGTTGGAAAATATTTAGGCTTTTAAAATTTTTTATCTCTACACATGGTAAATAAATGGACCTTGATAGACAAACATCATACATCTGAGATAGATTCTGATGCTAACTTCTAAAATAATTTTTCACCAGAAGAACAATGATGGAATATGTATATTCAAAATAGTTTCTATAGGAGTTCTCATTATTATTTCTTGTGATTCCCTTACTTCCCCTTTCCAGTCCTGTGCAATAGGGACTTTCTCAAATACTTAACATTCAAGTGTAGATTATCTTGTGTACAGCTCTGTGATTTAGCACATCTCCATTACTTCTCAATCCTCCTTGTGACTAAGACTGATGTAGTTTCATTATGAGAGTGGCATCTGTTTATCTGTGTTGAGGGTGTTGGAGTTTGGGGGAGGGAATAATCAATGAAAAAAATCATGAAAATAAAGGAACGAAAGCTTTCTCTTATAAAGCTCTATAATGGAGAAAAACAAAAACAGAAACAAACAACAGAAGCTAGAAATCTTTTCAAATTTTTGTATAAAGGGGTACAGGTGTGGTTTTGTTACATGGATATATTGCACAGTGGTTAAGTCTGTGCTTTTGGTGTAACTGTTGCCTGAATAGTGTACATTGTACCCAAAAGCTAGAAATCTGAATCAGGGGTGTGCGTGTGTGTGTGTGTGTGTGTGAGAGAGAGAGAGAGAGAGAGAGAAAGAAAGAGAGAGAGAAGTAGGATTCAATAAATGTGTAAAATTCTTGAGTACAACATTGAATTTTCTGTAGAATGTGAGATGGGTCAGGGTGACCCTGGAATGTACCTGGGTGACATGGTTTGGCTCTGTGTTCCCACCCAAATTTCATCTTGAATTGTAATTCCCAGGTGATGAAACAGGAACTGGTGGGAGGTGATTGCATCATGAGGGCGGTTCCCCCATGCTGTTCTCATGATAGTGAGTGGATTCTCATGAGACTTGACAGTTTTATAATAGGCTTTTCCCCCTGTTGCTTGGCACTTTTCTCTACTACTGCCATGTGAAAAAGGACATGTTTGTTTCTCCTTTCACTATGATTGTAAGTTTCCTGAGGCCTCTCCAGCCATGTGGAACTGTGAGTCAATTAAACATTTTTCCTTCTTAAATTACCCAGTCTTAGGGAGGTTCTTAATAACAGTATGAAAACCAGTGAATACACTCCCAAATTGATCATCTATGTTCTTCCATAAATTTTTAATTTTAAACATAAGTTCTATATGTTTAAAAATTATTTGAGGGGATAGAATTTCTGGCCAGTTAAGAAGATGATCAATTTGGGAGTGTTTTCAGAAGAAAACAATGGCTTAAATTAATTAAACACTGGGTTAAAATTAACAATATTTCTTAAGAACCTCCTGTGTTGGACTGTCTTCTAGGTCCTTGGAATATATCAGTGAAGAAAACCACAGTACATGACACAAATTTCTGGCCAGTTAAGAAGATGATCAATTTGGGAGTGTTTTCAGAAGAAAACCCAAATAACAAAGGCTTAAATTAATTAATTTTAACACTGGGTTAGAATTAACAATATTTCTTAAGCATCTCTTGTGTTGGACTGTCTTCTAGGTCCTTGGAGTATATGAATGAAGAAAACCACAGTACATGACTCATATAGTGCTCTTACCATAGCATGTTTAGGGACCATACCAAGTGCTTATAGTATAGGGATCATCAAATTTAGCCTTCACCTTTTAGTGTCTTCACTGAGATCCAGAGATTAAGTGACTCATCCAAGGCTACATGGCTAGTAATTAACACTGCAAAGATCATACTCTTAAGCTCTTCCCTGGATCATACTGTCCAGCAACTTGGTTTGAGATGGGTAAAATATTAACCTTATTTTATAGATGAGATCACTGGACCCAATGAGATAACAGGACTTACTTAAAACTTGCCCATGGTAAGTGGTAGAAGGAGCTGTTTTACACATCTGGGTATTCAGATGGTGCTTCTTCAAAATTCCGCACTGCCTTTACACCTGCAAAGCTGGATATATAATGCAATCTGTATGCATTTTCAGTGCTATAAAATACCACTTAATGGTTGAAATTATGAAAAAGAGAAAAATTATGGAGATGGAATGTAAGACCATCTTTGGGAGATAGAGTTGACATGTTATCATAACAAATTTAGAATAGTCATGCTTTTACAAAATGAGTATTGAATATGTTATTCTTAAGATAGGCCAAAGAGTTTCCACAATATATTGCTACATTGGAACTGGATATTATGTTTTCATGGCTAGTGTTTTTGAAGTAATTTCTCCTTTTCAAATTTGATATGTTAGTTTAAATAATCACAGTATTTAGCTTACTAGAAAACCCCCAGATAAATCAAATAAATAACTTATTAAGGTGTCAGTAACATTACAAATTATATGAATGAATGAGAGCATTTAACGACAATGTGAAAAATTTAAGTAATTCTTTTTAAATGGTACGTAATTTCCTCATCCTTATTACTTCTATTTCATACCCACAAGCTGCAAGTTAATAGCAGGAACGTGGTGTGTGTGTGTGTGTGTGTGTGTGTGTAGGCTCAAGATATTAGATTTGTGTATCCAAGGATTGGTTATTTTCTTCAGTTTATTTGAAATTCAGGAAAGCAGGAAACACATTTAGCTCTCAAGCATCATGGGAATAGGTCATATAACACAGTCAGGAACCTCTCATAACAAATTAAATATAGCCAGGTGTGAGGGAAAATAAATTCCATATGTTCAAAAATTATTTGAGGAGATAGAATTTCACTGGAAAATATAAGTGGAATCTGGAGGTCCTTTCATTAAAAAGTTTATTAAACTGTAACATGTCTGATAGCCACTGCTTATCTGAGAATAGGGTTAAGGTCCCGTTGAAGGGCAAAATTTCATTGAATAAATTTTCAAAGTACCTTCTTCAAACTAGACCTATGACTTTATTATTTGCTCAAAGTAGGCTTCTTCTTTCATGGGTTAAATGTTTGGAACCATTATGAATCTTCTAGAAACTTATTTATTTCTGTGACATAGCAGTGTTTCCAAGATATTCGAAGGCAAACGGAGTCCTACTTCAGCTGAGAAAGAGCTTTAACAATAGACCTGACCCCATGTTATATACTTTACGTAGATAAGTGTGTTCCTTGTTTACCACAAGCCTATAGGTTTCCATTGTTATCTTGCTTGGCAGATGTAGAGATAAAGAGATTCAGCAACTCACTCAACTTTTCCTCTGTAAAGACTGAGATTGAAGTCCAGCTCTGTCTGATTGCAAAGCATTTCTACTGGGTCAGGCTGACCCTTGTTAGAAAGAATTCTAAGATGATGAAGAAGAGTGAGATACAAAGAAGGGAGGTAGAGCAAGGATGTGGAGTGGCAGTGGTAGGAGGTGGAGGTGAAGAAGTGAAGATGCTGGCTGCCTCCAGGTTGGCTAGATGCTTCCTTGTTGCTGGACCTCAGCCGTTCCCCATCCACTGCCAGACCCCATCCCTGATCCCACGGCTGTGCTCCTGGATGGTGCCCTTTGTCATTTTCCTTTCATTGGGAGCCTATTATTTTACTCTGTTCCTTACATTATGGCGCTGCCTCTGAAGATCTCATGCTCAGTCCTGGCTTATCTTTACCTCCAATTATTACAGTACCCAACATTTTCTCTTATGGTTTGATAATCATTTGTTTTCATGACACTGTTGAATTTGTAGTGACTGTATAAGGCATTATGTTGAGAGCAATTTCATTTCATTGGGAGGACTGATTGATAGTGTCTGATTAGAGAAGAAGGGGAGAGTATAGGCATGCATGCTATATATTTGCTATTCTCACACATGACAGGCAGGTTCTGCTTTCCAGTGTATCCTCTACTTAATTTGTTTAAAAGAAAAACAAAACAGAGTTAACCCTTTATCTCAAATGCATAATGAACAACTATGTACAGACACTGTATTTGGTACTGGGGATACAGAGATGAGGAAGATGACTTTTTTCTTATCATACTAATTACCATTTGTTTAGATGCTCAGCAGTTTAGAAAACAAACTCAAAAACATCATCTCAACAAGTAAGGTAGTCAGGATGTGGCAAATATTATGATACATGTTTTACAGATAAGGCGATGGAGGTTCAGAGGAAAAGTAACCCAGCAATGGCTATTAAGTCATAAGCATGGGGCTAGTATATGGACACAGGTTTTCTGTCTCTAGAATCTATTGTCTGTTTCCCTATGGCATATAATTCATGTTCATGTGCAAATGGGAAAAAAACTAGTTGATCTCTCTTTCGGGAAGCTTGAGACAATTGACACTTATGTGGTTCAGTGCTAATATACTCCAAAGAAATGAATCTAACAGAAATTTCTGGCTAGTTAAGAAAGTGATCAATTTGGGAGTGTTTCCAGAAGAAAACCCAAATAACAATGGCTTAAACAAGTTGGGGCAATCCTTAGGATTCAGTGGCTCAAGGATATTAAAGCTGCAGTCTTTGCCATTCTCTTGGCCTTTTCCTCATGGTGGCAAGATGACTGTGCAGCATTAGCTACTAGGTTTGCAGAAAGAGAAAACAACAAGGAAAATGTGATGGCACCTCTATTGTGAAAGCAAACATTCTCAGTAATCCCCAGAAAAATCTCTGTTCTCTCTCGTTAGAACTACACCACATGGTCACCTCTAGCTTTAAGAAAGGTTAGAAAATGTTTATCTATCTGCCCCAAATAAAATCAAGGTTATATTAACATGGAAAAAGAAGAGAATATATATTAGGTAGCCAGCTAGCAGTGTCTGCCACAGATATCTCTCCAAGTTAATAAACTGGTTACTTGGGGGCCCAGCATGGTAGTTGTGGTGGGAGGCATTATTTTATAGTGAAGCATAGTTATATCTGTGTTATATGGTTGTCTATATTTACTTGAGGTAATCCAAGTTGGTTTCTGTTTTTCAGAAGCACCATTACCCACAGCACTCTTTCTGACAGGAGGCTATGAGTTGTCTGGATTTATTGTGTATGTGCATTTGCTTTTACGTAGGACTGTATTTCTATGCATTTTCTAAAATATATTTTAATGGCCTAAAGGTAATGTGCGCATCACACTGCAAATCACTTCCTTTGCACAGAGTGTTGTTGGCACTAGTGTTAATGAATACTGTTGTTGGGACCATGTGCTTCAGTATAGAATGTCTCCACATCACTGAAGTGAAAGAGTATATTAAGGAACAGCCTCTCAGGAAATCAATACGTTTCCTGTTGATTTGTTTCCTATTAAAGAAGTCATACAATTCAGCAGAGTAAGAAGTGAAAATCATTGGATATAAACTTTTTGTAGCAGAACACACGTTTAGGACTAGTAGGACTTAAATTCAGAAACTTGGGTTTTAGAAGACAACATGTTTCACCTCTTCTACACTTGTTTTATTCTGAAAAAAGACTGTGATGCCTTTCCAGAGAAAAAATACAAATTTTTGATAATCCCAGAAAGAATGGATGAAGACCAAAGGAAAGATAATGAAGAAGGAAAGTGACATTTTATTTTAAAATGTCAGTTATGTTCAGGGAACTGTGCCTGGGGTCTTACATATATTAACTCACTAAATCCAAAGAGCAATCCTAGGAGCAGGTGTTTGTATTCCAATTTTATAGATAGGAAGCTAGAACTTTAAAGAGATTAAGTGAATTGCTGGAAGTCACATAGCTAGTCAGTTGGAATGTTGGTGCTTCCTAACCCTAGATAGATATCATCCTTTTTTTCCACTTTGCCCTGTATAATTGGTAAAATATCCCTTCAAACACTACAAATAGCTCTTAGACTGCAAAATGTACTAGATACACCCAAATCTACCAGTCCTAAACATTTACCTCCCAAATCTAAGAGTTCCTACTTAATTTTGTTTCACTTTGCTCCAGTCTATAAGAGAGTAATCAGAATCTCTCCAAATAGCCCCCCTAGGGATTAAATGCACAGGAATGGGAAGAAGACATGGTTGTCATCATATCTCTCCAGATCTCCTCTTTTATCTACTTTAGCCTCAGGGCAACCTCTTTTAGGCCCAGGACATGGGAATCAGGTCATAGATATATTGCAGCAGATTAGCTGTTAGGATCATAAGCATTTGTAATGTGAATATACCTACCTAAGGTGAATTAGTTATATAATGTAGATCACAAGCTTAGTGTGCTCCAATCCCAGCAGGGGCCCCAAAATATGAGTGTGCATTTGGGTGTGTGTGTGTTTTACTTTAATGGGTAAATAAATGGACTAAATGAAAATGCATTGAGCAGCAAGTGAAACTTTGGATTCCTGCAGCTTCTGCCTTTTCAGAAGGAGTTCCTCTGGCTGGCCAATCTGTAGATAAATTAGGATTAAGGTTAGTGTTAGGGCCTTCCCTGTATCTTTTCCTCTATCTTTTCTATTTCACTCTACAACTGTCAGATGCCTCACTTTGGGTATGGAGGTGAAGGTGGTCCCTCTCTGAAGCCTAGATCTGGCTCATTATTGATCGTCACTCCCAGACTTGGTTGGAGTGCCATGGAGAATGTAGTTGGAAGCTGGTGTGCCTTGATTCTCCTCCTCCAAGCACCCCACACATAGTTGGGAGAATGCTTCATTTAATTAATGTATCTTGATAACTGATAGACCCACCTATCATTTCCTTTTCAAATAAGAATTTTCGTTAGCTATAGCGAATGGTATTTTCAGCTGTTGCCTTTTGTTTACCCATAATCAATCCACCTGCTTACTGGGAAAGTGCTAATGTTAGTCACAAATGGGTAGATTCAGGTTGGCTTGATCCTGTCAGACAATAAAATGGGTATCTTCTTTATTTCAAGATGTGTAACAAGGCAGTAGGTCTATGCTGCCTCCTTCTTTCCCATCCTTTGCACTGCCCGTGACACAACTCAGCTCACCTGTTTTACAGCAAAGCTGAAGTTCAAGGCCAGCTTCACGAATATGAGATCTGTGCAGTCCCACCAGTTCCAGCTCTTAAGAGGGCCCCACACTTGGTTTAATGCCCTGCAGTTGCTATTATGAAACTTAATACTTTCTTAGCAATGGGGCCCACATTTTAATTTTGCATGACTAGGCTTTGCAAATTCTGTAACTGGTCCTGCCTAAACTATCTGCTTTCAAATAACCAAAAGGAACGGGCTAAAAGGAGCGAGAATAGAAGATAGCAATTTTATAAGCCTAGAGACTTGTATGCTATGATCAGATGCAGACACAAGAGAAACAATTTGTGAGAGCTGAGCAGGGAGGCAGGTTGTGGCAGTAGTTCCCAACTTTCAAATCACATCTCTGCATCAGGCTTAATTATAGGGTTTATAATGTGAATTCCATGAATAGGAGATAGACTTGTAGTCATGTCATTTCAAAAGTGCTTTCTAAAGTCAAACGCTGATACTTTTTGGAGTGATTGCTTCATTATTTCTGCTCCCCCCAAGCTCAGTTAATCACAGGTTGATAGTAAATTGCTTGTGCAAGAGCCAGAGTAACTGGGGATATGGCTCCCCATCATCCCAGTGTGAAATGACCTCTCCTTTCTCCCAGACATCCTTCCCTTCTGCTTGCTGTATAGCTAAAATGCAGCAAACTAACAGACAGGTGCTGAAATTTTTATTTACCTTAAAATATAAATACCAGTCTTGCTTGCTGTTGCCATTTTTTAAGAAACATGCTCTATGACATGTCCAATTTGGGGATGCATAATTTTCACCTGCAGGTATAGCTTCCTCTCTCACTTAAGTCATACTACCTTTTCACTTGATTGTTGGCTGAATCCTGTCAATCCATATTTCCTGAATCTATCCCCTGCTGCTTTATAGCCTTTCCACTCTTACTTCAATCCCTCAACTTTCCTTGCATGGGTGATCACTGTAATTGATCCATAACTGGTGTCAGATTAATCTCCATCTGATATATACTCTTCACTGAAACCAGAGTAGTCCTTCTAGAATGCAAATGAGAGAGGTGGGCAGGTATGGAAAGAGAAATCTGGACAAGTATGCTAACTAGCAAGATTGATTTTATCGCCTTCTTGCTTTATTCAATTCAATGCTTCCTTTCTCCTTCAGAATAAGGTCCATTCTCCTTATGACATATAGATTCTTCAGAGAGGCATTGCAGGTGCCTTGCCTTCTTCCCCAGTCGCTTCTCTCATCATTTCTCCCTGAATACCCTCAGCTCTAGCAGTTCCGGGAAGAGCCTGTGTTTTGTCTGACCTAGAGACTGCACTTGCATTTTCTTCTCTTTAAAGCTCTTGACTCTGTCTTCATCAACTGGATCACTTCTACCTGCTTTTCAAGATGCAGATGAAATACTACCCTCTCTCACTCCTCACTTCCTAGGTAGTCAGGTATCCCTCTTTTTGTGCTAACAGAGAAAACTATAAGCAACTCTATCATAATACTTATTATTTGGTATTTTGATTGTTAACTTATTTGACTTCTGCCACCCTGGGAAAGAGCCTATACTTTTTTTGGTATACTTGATGCTCATAGCCTGATGAGTGAATGAATAAATGAATAAGTGAGTTAATTGAATGAACCCAAAGGAGATTTCTTTATCTACAAGAATTTCTAGAATGTCAAGAGTAAGATCTTCCATGCTCTTTCAATAGGCAGTTTTAATTTTGCAGTTCACCATGTTTGGTGTTTCTTAGAGAGACTCAAATGAAAATCTTTCTGAGCCAAGTCAACAATATTTTACTGAAGATTGAAGTCACTACTGAATTATGATATATTGGCATGGGAAAGAAAATAGACCAATTATATAAAGTATAATTTTTAAATTTATAGACCAGTCATGCATTTTGGGCTTTGAGGAGTCTTTCCACTGGTTGGGTAGACTAAAGGAATTGTGCAGCTTCCTTGGAATGAATGGAGTATATTGGTATGAAAGGCAGAATGAGAGGCTATTTCTCCATTTCTGCCTTTTATAAGGCTGCACACCTTGGTTTGGAGTTTCTTTGAGAGGGCAAAAGAGAACATGGACAGGAGGATGAAGAGAATAAATTTTATACTCAAATTTAAATAAAGCTGTCTAGTACCCCAAAGAAGTGAAAATATTTGAGACCTATTAAAATGAAGTACAATGCCACCTGGATATTTCTCTATGCTTATTTCTATCCACAGAAAGTTATTTTGAGCTCTGTCATCTAAAGCAAGGACAGCAAATGCATGACCCAGGACAAGCCTAGGACAAATACGAGTCGTCAATCACACTATGTTTTCCTGCTGATCCTGGATTGGGCCTCAGAATAATTCTCAGTACCATGTTCCAGGTAGCTTCGACCAATAGGTAAGAGTTGCCAAGTGACGTGAAACAACTGGCCATTTGTGTTCTATGGGAATGTAAACCTGATCTTTCCATTGGTTGAGTTTTCTTAATTTTGGTTCCTCTCTTTAATTCCATAATCATGGCTGGTGGCGTAGGGCACGTGAGGATTTATAGATCTCATTTCTAGTTCCAAATTCTGTATTGGAGTTCTCCAGAGAAACAGAACCAATAGAATGTGTGCATGCACACACACATGCATACACACACATGCACACACACACTCACACATGTGCACACACATGCACACACATACACATGCACACACACACGTGCACACATGTGCACACATGCACACACACACTTTAAGTAATTGCCTCACATGACCATGGGGCTGGCAAGTCTGAAATCCAGAGAGCAAGATGACAGGCTGGAAACCAGGAAATAATTGATATGGCAGTCTCAAATCTGAAAGCTGCCTGGAAGCAGAATTCCTTCTTCCTCAGGGGGCCTCTGTCTTTTCTCTTAGGCCTTCACCTGATTGGGTGAGGCCCATCCACATTATAGAGGTAAACTGGTTTTACTCAAAGTCTACTGACTTAAATGTAAATCATATTTCATGTAGGTGGAATATCTAAAAAATAACTGTACAGCAACACAACATTTAGACTGGTGCTTAACTGAACCATAGCCTAGCCAAATTGACATTTATTAAATATAACAAACTCTATCAGCTAAAAAGAATTATAGCCCATGTCTTAGAAGGAGTTTATATATATAATTCCTTTTCTTCTTTCCTTTCTTCTTTTTGTCCTGTCTTTCTTCTTCCTCCCTTGCTTCTTCCTCCTTTTCTTCCTTCCTTCCTTGTACTGTTTCCTATTCACTATGTACTATTCTAGGAATTGAGGCTACAATGGAGGATTCCACAACTCCAGGGAGCACCATTTACAGAGATTAGAATTCCAATTGTGTTCATTGGAACTGGGCAACAGTATGGCTCTGTACGCAAATTTCGGAAACAATAAATATTATGAACCTTCTTTGGTGGCAGGGCATTTGTTTAGTGAAGCAAATCTGAATACCTTCTGGTGAAGGGCTTTCTAGAAGACTTTCCCTCCTTATTCAAGATCCCTTTCTTCCCTGCCCACTTTTTTTGTTTGTTTTTAAGAATCACTAAATCACTGTTCTTAGTGTTACTAGTGCTGGAATATATGTGTGCTTCCTAGATATGCCATCTCATAGAATTTTTTTCTGTTCAACCTTTTGTGCTGATGTAAACAGGCATGATAAATACATTGAGGAATGTTTTTATTGTGGTAAAATACACATAATATAACATTTTCCATTTTAATTATTTTTAAGTGTATAGTTCATGTATTAATTAAGTACACTCATAGTGTGCAACCATCACCACCATCTCTCCCCAGGACACTTTTCATCTTGCAGAACTGAAATTCTATATCCATTAAACAGTAATTCCCTATTCTCCCCACTCCTTAGTCTCTGGCAACCATCATTCTACTTCCTGGCTGCATAAATTTGACTACTCTAGGTATCTCATATGGGTGGAATCATATAGTATTTGTCTTTTTGTGCTGGTTTATTTCACTTAGCATAATGCCCTCCAGGTTCATCCATGTTGTAGCAGGTGTCGAATTTTTCTTCCTTTTTAAGGTCGAATAATATTCCATTGTATGGATATGCCATATTTTGTTCAGTCATTTATCTGTTGATGAACATTTGAGTTTATTTCACCTTTTAACTATTGTAAATAGTGTGGCCATGGACATGAGTATACAAATATCTAAGTTTCTGGTTTCAATTCTTTTGGGTATATGCCCAGAAGTGGAATTGTTGGATCACCTGGTAACTCTATTTTTAATGTAATGAATAATTTTAGAGCCCCTGATTCATATTATCTGCTCAGTTGAATCTTGTTCATCATTTACGCTTCCAAGGAAGGGGGTGTGGTGATAACCCTGGTGGGGTATGGGGAGGAAAAGAGCGTAGAGTTTTGGGAGACAGACAGTGAGAGGCATGTGCTCTACCCGTTTACTCCAATCTCAGTCTTTGACACAATATTAGGGTGAGGGCTGCATTGGAAAAACTGAAGGGAAGGCAAAAGCTGAGAGAGTTTGTCTTGGTTCCCACTTGGGATTCAGCTCAGAGGGTGGTCTCAACACCACTATGGCAGCTATATTAAAGTAAAACTTATAGGTGCAAAAAATAACTAATGGCACTGATGGGTGAATTTGAGCAAAGGGAGGCTCAATTTTTAGAGGTGGGCCTCAACTGGCCCTGTATCTGCTAGGAAGACTTCTAGTACAAGAGAGGGAGTTTACCACCACTGTGAGGTAGCTGAGAATAGGTAGATGGTCATGGCAGGGAGATCCATGCCAAGGGAAAACAGAGATCAAGTTCACTGGCCACAGATGCACACATAGCAAGCAGACAAATGGCTCAACAGGCAGACAAAGAATACAACCATTGGAGGGGACAGGAAGGAGAAGGGGCATGGAGCATGGCTGCCGAAGACAGAAGATTTATCTGAAAGAGACAGTTGTAAGCTCATTTGTCATTAATGGGACCGTTTAAATTTCCCTGCTATCCTGGGAGACAGCGTATGAGGAAGGTCAGAGCAGTTGTAAGAATATAAACCATTATATAGATTCTAGTATATAGAATAGCATAGAAACAACAGTTTTCTAGGCAAATCTGAGTTGTAGTATGATCAAATCATAATGCCGACAAAACTACATGTAGATTTCCTCATTTACAGATGAACTGTGAGGTTGGAGAATTGAAGGAAAGTGAACAAACAAAGCAGACCAAATTAAAATACAACCATTTCTGGAATAACCTCATAACTAGCTCAATATTATTTTTTATTTGGTTAAGAAGACCCAGTCTAAGATATTTTTCCATCTTCCTGTAAAAAGTAGTTTTTGTAGCTGCTCTGTAAAGGTCTTATTACTGTGATTATTTAGAAGAAATGAGTCTTTTCTAAAGAGGGTAGACATATAAATTCCTGGGTTTTGCCTACTGCCAAAGGCTATCACTGAGGAAAATAGCTTAATAAACTGTAGAATGGAGTTGGTCACCTCTGTGAATCATGATGGGTGTAGTTATGCTGACTTGGTGGGAACACTTTAAGAGTTATTGAGTAGGCTCAGGAAATGAGCTCAGGAGGAGGTGAATAAAATGGAATGGAAAATGACCTATAAGAGAGGTGAGAAAAAGACTTCTTTACATTCTGCGGCACATGAATGATCAGAGACTTCTTCTTTTCCTCCTTTCAAAGAACAAGCATAGGCCACAGCCTTTGTAAGCAGAATGTATTTCTTTTAAAAAATTTTTAATTTTTAAAATAATAATGGTCTATATGTAAGGTATACAACATGATGTTTTGATATAAATATGCATAGTGAACTGAATACTGTAGTCATGCTAATTAACATATCCATCTCTTCACATAGTTACCATTTGTGTGTGTGTGTGTGTGTGTGTGTGTGTGTGTGTGTGTGTGTGTCTGTGTGGGTGGTGAGAACGCTCCCTTAGCAGTGATCTACTCTCTTAGAAAATTTCCAGAATATAATATAGCATTATTAACTACAGTTCCCATGCTGTACATTATCTCTCTAGAACTTATACTTTAATATGTCAAGAAACATAAAGAACAGTACTAATGTCCCTTCATTTTAATCACTGTTTCTCAGGGCAAAGGAAAGATTTAACAATCTACCTTTGGTGCAACTGCGTTGGCGATATAGAACCCCTAAGAGTGGAGATTCTGTACTGCTTCATGTCCTCCTTAAGTTATTATGAAGTAGGGGGAATTTCTCCAAAAAGTCACTTTCAGTCATATTCTGCCTGTGATGCATTCAGCTCTAAATCAGGCTTATCAGCTGTGATGCTACTCTCAGCAAGGGCTGTGCTCGTGATGTGAGTCTCTAGCAAGGGATACAGTATTTATTCACTCAGCAAATATTTCTTGAACACCTGCTATGTTTCAGATACTCTGAAAAATACTAGAGTTTATTGATGACTCCTTCTCCCTTTCTTCTGATACTTTTCCAACACAACAATCTCTTAAGCCTCACTTGCGAACAATTGAAATAACATATAATAACACACAAAAAATGACAAATTTATTGGCCAAGGCTCATATCTATAGGAAGGACCTCCTTAGCTTTCAGAAAGTCATATCAGCATGCCATTAACCTAAGGGAAGGACACCTTTTCTGACATTTTCCCCTGAATTTAGCATTTGTAGTTAAAATATGGGGTGTGCGTGTGCATGCATGTGAGTTGGCAGTGGAGAAGGGGTCATATGAGTGTATTTGAAACCTGCTGAAAGCTGTGATCTTAATTTAACAAAAGAGAAGTTTATGGAATGAGACAGAATGACTAGAACAAAGAAGATAGGTCTTGAAAATGTGACTCAAACTCATACATTTCCTGTGCACTTTGAGGCAGCCTATAGTCTTCTCTCAAGTATTGCTTTCAGAGAAAGAGGTGAATCCATTTGACAATTAATGCAACATATTCCCGGTTTACCTTGAATGCACTCAAAATAAATTCTGCCCATTATATCATTTATATACAGTCAAAATGATAATAACTTTATTGCTTATTCTAACTACACTTTTCACTATTATAAATAATATTGTACCAAACATCCTTATACACAGATATATGCATACTTTTCTGGTTATCTTCTTAGAATAGATTTTTATAAGTAGAATTCCTAAATAAAGCTTATGTATATCAAATGTGTTCATTTGAAAAATGTTTCCCTTTATTGTTAGGCTAAATTATACTTCCACCAACAATAGGTAAGAAAATCCATTTTCTACCACCCACATCAGCTGGATGAGTCAATTAAAAAAAAAAAAAACTTTATCAGTTTAATTTGCATTTCTTTAATCACTATATAAGGTAACATCTTTATATGTTTTTTGATGGTTAGTATTTTTATAAATTGCTTTTTAAAAAATTGTTTATTTTTCTGTTAGGTTTATAGCATCATCTTTAAAATAATAGCATATTAAATGCATTAAAAATATATCCACCACTTTTTAACTTTGTAATAGACCTCTGAAATTGTTAAGATACATTTTATTACTTTTATTTGAAGGATGGAGAAGCTGAGCCTGCTTTCTCATGATAAGCAAATGGTGGAGGCAGTCCCAGAACCCTGGCCTCATCCACTGTCTGTTGCTTTCTTCTTTGCCCTGTTGCCTGTGGACCACTCTGGCTGACCAGAGAGCCCATTAGCAATAGAAGTAATTGAACATGAAGAGTATCCCACAAAACAAGATGGCTGGCTTCAAGTGAAAAGCAGCCCAACTCCTGCCATTCACTGGGCTGGTATGGAACATCAAAAGGCAACAGAGACTTTTAAGAAGAGAGGGAAAGAAACCAACTTCTCCAAACTACTTCTGATAAACCAGGCATCTCCTCCTGTGTTAACACTAGCACTTTGCAATGTCACATATGGGCTACTTAGGTAAAATTTCGAAGCCAAAGACACAGAAACAAAAGCAATTTAGGTCATAATTCCCAACTATGTCAATCTACAATAGGATAAATGTTATTTAAATGAGAAGGGTGTTTTAGAAACTCCCAATTTCTAAGTAATACGGAATACCAGAGGTGCCCAAGTTGTTAACATTTTGAATCATGTATCAGTTGTATGATAAAGGATGAATCTAAACCAAACTAAATTCATCCCACTGAACCAATGTATTTGTTGTTGAAATAAATGGAGGAAGAAAAACAAACATAGAGAAATTTATGGCTTTGTTTAGATTAAATAACTTGGTAATTAAGACCAAGTACTTCTGAAGAATTTTCTATTTCCCAATTGTTCTTTAAATATATCTTTATATTAAAACATAACAAATGTTATAAATTAGTTGCAGTAAACTAATTTATGCTGTTTTTAAATTAGTTTAAGTAAACTAAAAAGGCAAACAATATCATAGCATTTTAGAATGACCATTTTATGTATGAGCTAGCAATAAACTTAAGGAAATTTCCTTTGGGAAAGAGAGAATAATGCCAGAAATAATTGTTAAATATGAAGTGGTTTCAGGAAAAGATTATTAACTCAAAATTGCCCCCACAGACATATATAAATACTGAGGAAGTCTGAACTCCATTGGGATTTTCATTACTTAGCCCACAGTGTTAGCAAAGAAATCTGAAATCTCCCCATTAGCCTGTAGAGTGGGGCTCAAAGGAAATGTAAACCAGATGAGGTCTGTTTCCTGAGACCCAGAGCTGAAGCTATTGGTGAGGTCCCAGGCACAAAGGCGAAGGAGAACATACAGCCATACTCAGAGCAGTCCAAACTTACCAAGTCTTGACACGGAGAGAAATGAGTGTTATTTACTCTGGCGACCAGTTGGCTGATAGAAGATATAAGGCCAGCCAGCTGGTTTTGAAACTTAATTTACTATCTTCTAGATTCACATTGTATTTACTTGAGAAGGAAGAGTAGCCAAGGGCTCTTAATTATTTTGTTGTGACCAAAGCTAAAGGAAGCTAAAGTGAATTTTCGAGGCATCTATTACCTGCTAGATGCACTTTAGCCATTAAATTACAGGGCTGTGCTCTGGCCCAAGTCATTCTGCTGGCAAGTCTGATTAGAGTGAAATATATTACAGAAGAAAGAAGGTGTTAATTTCCAATGTGGTTGCTCCTCTGAAGCGATTACAAGAAAGAAGGAAAAGGAGAACATGATGTAAAGGGAAGAGATAATAGTTATGGCGTCATGCTTAAGAATGTGTACTGTTAAACTGATAAAAATTTTAAAAGTCATTCATTAAGAGTGTACTGGGTATCTGCCGTATCAGGCACTGCTTTCTATGTGCTGGGGACAAAAAGATGACTAATATGCAGTAGCAAAAACCTTCCCCAATCTAGTCGGGGAGCCTTTAAAAATAAAAATTTGCATTACCAGATGATATATCCTATCTGAGCAGGATGTGTTTTTGAGGACTTCATGGAATGGGATGTGAAAGTGTGACCAACCGTTGCACTGAAGAAGCAGGTTTGGGGAATAGGATATGAACTATTAGATTATCTGAAGAAGACGAGCCTTCATTTCTAAAGGCTAAGCTTTATCCCCAGCAAAGATGAAGGAGTTCTTTTGTGTTCCAAATATTTAAACTCTACAGCACTTGCCCATAAAGTTTTAATTCCCATAGTAAGAGAAAACTGACTGTTGGACGGTGGCATAGTGGTAGCAGAAGAGGCACCAGGACTGAGTGTCCCCTTAACTGTAGAAGCTGGTGCTGAGCAGGATGGAAAGGACAGAATGTCAGATGGATGATACTTGCACTGATGGCTGTGGAGGATGACCGTAATAGTGGCATTCTGGAGTGGGAGTGAATTTCCCTGGGGCCAAGATGACATGGAGAAATGAGGCCAGCAGAGGACCGGCAGGCCACTCTGCGACTATCCTGGGCAAGGGAGGAGCTGGGCAAACAAGACTAGCTTTAGACAAAGCCACAATGTAAGAACCCAGTGGGTCCAGCTCATGTTTTTTTCCAGCCCATATTTTTGAGTCATTTCTTTACCCCCAACCATGTATCCCAAGAGATATAAGAAGAGAACAACATAGGAACAAAACCCAGGAAGACTCCCTGATGGTGCCTATCTTTTAGTTAAACAGAGATCAGACATGTAGAGTCACAGTTACATATCAATGTGACAAGCATTATTGTAACAGGGTAATTTATTCAGATTTTAATGAAGCCAGCTATAAAAACTCAACTATGATTGAGTTTGAGAGCTACAGAATCTCCATACCATTTTGTTGGCCTCTGATCGCATTGGCTTCTGTGACATTCAAGGGATTTTTCCAATAGTCAGAAAGTTGTGGCGACTAATTTCTCAGAGTGTTTCTCTTAGGGTCACTTAGGAGCTTATAGCAGAGACTTCTCACTGAGTGTGTCCCCTCCTATGCTACATATCTGGAAAGTGTCAGCAGTGAAACTGGGTCACCTAATTCCAGAAAGAGCCCCTGATGTCTGGTTTCTGTGTTCAGAGAAAACACCTCCCATTGAAACATGAAACACTCATACCGGCCAGTGCGGGCAGTATAAAATTGGCCTAGATGTGAGGACTTCCATTCCATCAGCAAATCAGAATTTGTCTGATTCTACTTTGTAGATGCACATTAACCAATGGAAAAACTGAGATTTCGTTGGCTATGTTGTCACTTAGCACCTCAGTGCCTAAGGCACTGAGTATGTGTAAATAATGAGATCTGTTACTGCCTTATTGTGGGCAGACCTGCTAGAATGAGATTGTTACAGAACAACTGCATTCCAAAGAATCAAATGGACTACAGACCTCAGAACATTTCCATCTCCAGTAGAATCTAGAGTCACTGTAAAATCTCCTGGGGTTATGTACAGAACTTAAATTCTACAAAAAAAAAAAAAAGGATAATAATGTGTGTGTGTGTGTGTGTGTGTGTGTGATGTGTATGTGGCTTTGATAACATTGGGATAGTGGGCAAAAAAATTGGTAGATTCTATTAATTTTTTTTAAATAGTAATATCTAAGGACTATTTATTCTCCTGTTTTCAGTATCTTATGTACTGAAAGGTTGTTACTACTTTGTGCAGTGTTGAGCAACCCTGAACCCTTTTGCTGTGTTAATGTCTCTACATTATCACTTTTATTTGCAAGACATATTTCTGCTGCAGAACTTGTAACATTGAGAAACATTTAATGAGTTATCAGCAAACACTAAAGATAAAAAGAACTTTGATTGAATTTTGTAAGTAAGCTGCTTAAGATTCCCGTGTTCTGAGATTGCAATGAATGTTTACACTTCGGTTAATAAAATTCTATCAAGCAGGTGACAGGTACCAATTAAAAGCAATCACAAAGTGTATTCTTTCCATAATCCCTGAAGTAGAATCTTTAGATGCTGATTTGCAAAAGCATTACCTGGCATGGAATAGCTTTGATCTTCAGCAGCTTTCTGCAGCCTGTGGGATTTTAGCCATTTCCATGTGGGAGAACCAGAGGAAATAGAAAATGACCTTTGGTGTTTGCTGAAGTGTGGAGGAACATCAGCTTGTGGTTCAAGCTGCTGAAACAGATACCAGTCTTAGTAGAGAGTCTGAGCTGTAGCAGCAAATAGATTCCCACATGTAAAAGGGCTCAGATGCAGTAGAATTTTGTTTTGTACTCACCTAAACTCCGAGTGGGTATTTCTGCTTAGAGGTTGGGTATCATCCATGTAGAGCCATAAGGATCCAGTCACCTTATAGCCCCACCGTCATAGTCCCCTTCAGCATTCAGACTGCAGATCCCCTTCTTACAAGGGTTGGCCTGGAAATAGTGCACATTCTTTCTGCTTATATTCTGTGGCCTAAAATTCAGTCACAGGTGCATGCCTGACTTCATGGGAAGCAAGAAAATAACATTGTGCTGAGAGTCTAGAACAAAATAGGAATTTGATGAGGACCTTTAATATGAGAAAACCCTCTCCAGGGAACTAGACCTCAATACTCATCAGAAGAGGTAGAGTGGGCAATCTCCCAGGGACATAATCTTCTTCCTTCAGGATGGCTAGCTACTGAGGAGGCAAAAGAACTCCTACCTGCTGCCAGCCAGTGGAAAGCACTTAAAACCCTATATCAAAGCTTCCATATGGGCATAGAGAATACATATTGAATGGGCAAATCTGTATTTACAGAAAAAGGTCTCTTCAAGGCTGTCCAACAAATCGTCAAAGGATGTGAAATATGCCAGAAAAACAATCCTTTGGCACATCACAAAGCTCCTCCTGGGGAACAGTGAATCAGTCATTACCCAGGTAAGGACTGGCACACGGACTTTACCCATACGCCTAAGTCTCAGGGATATCAATATCTGTTAGTGTATGTAGATACCTACACAAACTGGGTTGAGGTTTTCCCCTGTAAAACAGAAAATGCCCAAGAGGTAATAAGAGTCCTGATTAATGAAATAATCCCTAGATTCAGACTCCCTTGCTGTCTTCAAAGTGATAATGGCCCTGCATTTAAAGCTGCACTGACCCAAGGAATTTCCAAGGCATTAGGAATACAGTATCATCTCCACTATGTTGGAAGTATCAGTCCTCAGGGAAAGTGGAGAAGATGAATGAAGTTCTTAAGAGACACCCAAAGAAACTGGCACAGGAAACCCACCTCCCGTGGCCTTCTCTATTACCAATAGCACTGTTAAGCGCTCGAAACTCTCCTCAGAAAATACGACTCAGCCCCTATGAGATGCTTTATGGACAGCCCTTTCTTACTAATGATCTCGTATTAGACAAGCAGATCTTAGGACCTTATCTGAAGGACACCCTAGGAAAAAAGGGAAAGAGTTGTTCTGCCCTGGAGACCTAGTGTCTGTTAAGTCTCTCCCCTCAGACGCTCCCTCTCTAGGCCCATCTTGGGAAGGACGTCTTCGGTTATTCTGCCTACCCCAGCGACTGTTAGGGTGGTGGGAGTTGACTCGTGGATTCATCACACTCAGCTGAAGCCTTGGACACCTCCTGAAGAAAATAACAGGTCCTCTGCTCCACAGACTGAAGTTCCAGGAGTCGACCCTTCGTACACCTGCAAGCCGTTAGAGGATCTAGGTTTGCCCTTCTGATGAGATCTCCAAGAAAGTAACTACCCATGAGTCTAACTTACATCCTGGCATTAACAAGACTATCACTCTTACCTTTACTGTCTGTGACCAGACTCTATGAGGTTGCCCCCACGGACTGGTCTAATAGCTCCCCTCCTCTCCTTCCTAGTGCCCACCCTGCCATGACAATTTACACCAACTCTCCAGTGCAGAGCCTTCTCTTGCTAAGGCCACACCATACTCAAACTCCAATTATTCCTTTCATAGTCGGGGGGGTGTGGAATAATAGGAGGACTTGGTACTGGCTTTGGAGGAATTACTACCTCTACTCAGTTTTACTATAAGCTATCTCAGGAGTTCAATGATAACATGGGAAAGGTTGCTGATTCTCTCTGCAGAAGCAGCTTAACTCTTTAGCTGCTGTGGCTCTTCAAAATAGAAGATCCCTGGATCTGCTAACAGCAGAGAGAGAAGGAAACTGTCTCTTTTTAGGAGAAAAATGCTGCTACTTTATAAACAAATGGGGTGTTGTCTTAAAGTTAAAGAACTCAGGGGTAAATCAAACACAGGGCTAAAGACCTTCAAGAAACAGGATCGTGGAGCTTGTTTAACAACTGGCTGTCCTGGCTCTACCCTCTTCTAGGCCTATTTATAACTATTGTATCATTGCTGGTGTTTGCCTTATTTGAAAGCAGTTTCAACATTCAACAGTCTATGAGTGTTGAAAAATGGCCACTGGGATTGGCCAACACTCAGCTATTGTTACAGGTGTATACTATTAAGTTAGGTATCCAATTTTGTCTGACTATTAAGCTAGGTTATAGTTCACCCACAAAGACTCAAATATCGAAGCACACAGCCCTTCTCAGGCCATATTTAGTTTCCTTTGACAAGAACATTCAATAAATCCTTCAAGGGCACCTTGCCCTGGGAGCCCTAAGAGAGAGCATCTTTTTCACAGACATCTGTTTTAAAATATACCCAGGATTTTGTTTTTGCTCAGGTATTGTGAGGCCAGCAGATAAGGAGACAATTGCCATTGAAAAGGTAATTTGTTACACACAGGTCCTGAAAGGAGGGATGACTCCATACCACAGAGTGTCACATGGAGAAGCATCAGGATTCATTAAGGACAAAAGCAATGATGAGAAAGGAGGGGCTGGAGCCTTTGCTGTGGTTTTCATGAGAGGGACTGGGTAAAGCAAGGCAGGGAGCTGAGTGGCAGTAGGACTGGCTGCTTTGAATAATTTTGGCAGGCTGTAGGCTACAGGGGTTGTTTCTAGTTGTCCAGCACCTGGCCCTGGGCTTATTTGTGTATCAGTTGTGAGCTCTCAGGCAGGTTATTTGCTCTCTCTAGGGATTAACTGACCCTGGGAGGGGCAGTCTCTTCTCAGGTCTGCAAGTCCTCAAGATATCAAAGCATCATAAAATATAGAAAATAAAAGAAGATTTATACAACATCCAAATTTTCACATAAGGCACTGGCAGTGGCCCTGGGGAGATGCTACCGTCAACTGTATTTAGTGTGTAAAGTGTCTAAAATACAGTGGAAAAAAAATTAGTCATGATACCTGTTAAAGATAGTGAGACAGTGGCTCACGCCTGTAATCCCAGCACTTTGGGAGGCTGAAGCAGGTGGAACACCTGAGGTCAGGAGTTTGAGACCAGCCTGGCCAACATGGCAAAATTCCATCTCTACTAAAAATACAGAAGTTAGCCAGGTGTGTTGGTGGGGACCTGTAATCCCAGCTACTTGAAAGGCTGAGGCAGGAGAATCACTTGAACCTGGGAGGTGGAGGTTGCAGTGAGCTGAGATCGTGCCACTGCACTCC